ATTTTATTTTCTAAAAAGTTTGACAGTATTTGCTTAGTGTATCCTTAGTGCATATTTAAAGTCATTCACAGCCCAACTTTTTTCTTTCCTTCCTCATTGTTAGGTCTATAGATTTTCTTAAAGAGAAATATATCATGATATAAAATACAAATACAAATAAAGATAATAGGGGAAAGGGGAAGGGAAAAGGAAAAGGAAAAGGAAAAGGAAAGAAGAAGAATTGGAAGTATAAAGGGGAAAATAGGCATTAACTCCCAACCTTTTTCAGTGCAGTAAATTACAGAATACACAGCACTGAAAAATGTGATTTCTGAGCATTTTTCACAGTTATGACCTTTGCAGCATCCCCAAGATCATGAGATCAAAATTCAGGTGCTTGGCAGTTGGCTCATATTTACGACGGTTGCAGTGTTCCAGGGTCATGTGACAACCATTTGCGATCTTCTGACAAGCAAAATCAACAGGGGAGCCGGATTTACTTAACAACTGGGTGACTCACTTTAACACCTGCAGTGATTCACTTAAGCACTGTGGCAAGAAAGATCGTAAAGTGGGGCAAAACTCACGGAACAACGGAAATTTTGGGCTCAATTGTGGTCATAAGTTGAGGATTGCCCACACTTTTTTTAAAAAAAATTAAAGCAATTTACACATAGGCAATGTGGGTTTCAACTATATGATGGAGACTGCCATCTTGACTTTTTTGACTGACCTGGAGTAACCTCCTTAACCCTGTTCTATTTTATGTCTCTCCAAGATACAGGCAAGAAGTTAATGATCCAAATCATTGTCGGTTGTGTGATAGGAATTATCGCTCTCCTAGGGATGGTGGTGACTATATTTGTTCTCTGGCAAAAGCTTCTATCACGGAGAACCAGGTAAAGATTTTTTTTAAAAAAGAAAGAATGTCTCCCTTGCATTCAGTTCAATTCCTGGTAGTTGTAACAGTGGTGGGATTCAACACTTTTTACTACCGGTTCTGTGGGCATGGCTTTGTGGGCGTGGCATGGCTTTGTGGGTGTAGCAGGGGAAAGATACTGTAAAATATTCCCACCCCACTCCAGGGAAAGGATACTGTAAAATCTGCATTTCTACCCCTCCAGGAGAAGGATACTGTAAAATCTCCATTTCCACCCCTCCAGGGTAAGGATACTGTAAAATCTCCATTTCTACCCCTCCAGGGGAAGGATACTGTAAAATCTCCATTTCCACCCCTCCAGGGGAAGGATACTGTAAAATCTCTATTTCCACCCCACTCCAGGGGAAGGATATTGTAAAATCTCCATNCAATGGAATGGAATAGAATTCTTTATTGGACACACAAGGAATATGTCTCTGGTGGAAAATATTGTTGCAGGTTTGAACTGAACAGGAACCTTTGTGAGTGGGTGAGCTCCTGAACATAAGCAGAAGGCTAAGAGAATACTGAGAAATGAAGTTGCAAAATGCTCCACTGGGAGAAAAAACCCTCCAAAATGTTGATAACCTAGACAGTTTTAATCTAGACAAGTGTTTTTTAAAGTGTGGTCTGAGACTCCCTGGATGTCCCACAAGACCCTCTTAGAGGGTCACAAAGTCAAGATTATTTGTCCAGTATTGAAGATATTTGCAAAATATCATATCTTTTGTTTCCCTTCTCCTTTCTCATAACTTGTTGACAACATCTGTGGTTTCTCTTTCCCCTCCAGCTTCCCCAGTTCCTCTTTACAAGTGGCCAAAGCTGTGCCGTTTCTCTATTCCAGCCTTTGCCCTCCAATGAAGCTCTTTCTCTTAATTCCAGCCATCGTGGCTGCTGTCACCCTGGAAGGGACAACTATGCAGCCTCTCCAAGGTAAGCTTTAGCTGTCTGATCATCTTGCAGTCAATGTGAAGTCCTCGACCGGTCTAAAGTCCTCAACTTACAACCGGCCACAAGTCCTTGACTTATGACTGACAGCCTGGCAACCAAAGACTCATGCCTATTGGTTTAGATGCGTTGGGCTGAAAGCGGGATTTTAAAAGGTTTCTATTGGTTGCCTTGCCCTGCTTGACAGCTCCTGTATAAATAGCTGTCAAGCAGGGAGAAGTGCTGCTCTTGTTCTGAGCTTGTGTTCAGTGTTAATAAAGCCTGTTAAAGTACCTCAGTGACTCTGACGCCTGTGTTCGACCTGATCTTCAATAGCCAGGGAAGTCCCCTTTAGCCCAGTCCAGTCCAGGTTGAAGGCAGCTACAGGCTGGTACAGCAGGGTGGCATTACAGGTGGGGACCATATTTTAATTTAGAAAATTAAAATTAATAAAAGGATGATGTTGGATTTAGTGGTTAAGTAAAGGTTCCCCTCGCACATATGTGCTCGTTGTTCCAAACTCTAGGGGGCAGTGCTTATCTCCATTTCAAAGCCAAAGAGCCAGCGCTGTCCAAAGACGTCTCTGTGGTCATGTGACTGGCATGACTAAACGCCGAAGGCACATGGAACGCCGTTACTTTCCCACCAAAGGTGGTCCCTAGTTTTCTACTTGCATTTTTACATTCTTTCAAACTGCTAGGTTGGCAGAAGCTGGGATAAGTAATGGGAGCTCATGCCATTATGCGGCGCTAGGGATTCAAACCACTGACCTGCCGACCTTTCTGATTGACAAGCTCAGCGTCTTAGCCACTGAGCCATTGTGTCCCTTCATAGTGGTTAAGGCACCACTAAATCCAGCAAATAATTGAACATTGTATGGCACCCAGAGATGCTTTTTGGACAATGGGCAGCCATATAAATATGGCAAACAAATACATCTTGTTTCGCCTTGTTTCAGAAATGCAGGAACTAGAAAAGGGGAATAGTAAAAGCAAAGCACTTAGATTTACCGCTTCACCTACCATGAGGATCATAAGCAATGAGGTTGCATAAAATCTACTCCTACTTGCTGTTCCCCGTCTTGAGGCACATTGCACCACCAGCCCTACGTAGGCAGGAAGCCTTAGTGAAGGAGTACCACGAGATTATGAGAAGCCCACTTCTTCCTGTGCATGCTGGTTTTCCTCATCTATCAATTGGCAGGCTTCAATCCAGGAAGCCCTCTCTGGCACTCGCTCAACAGTTGTCTGACAACTTTGACATCAACACACGGTGGAAAGCCAAATGGGCTGCTGAACGCCCAGATACAGGCAGTTACGTAGATGACCCTACACAAAAGGTGCTAGGTTCTGACCTTTCTCACCAGCATTGGTCAACTCTGAACAGGATCCGCACCCAACATGGTGTCTGCCAGGAGTGTGGCTGTGGTGCTCCTCAACAAAATATCCATCAGATTGTGTCCGAATGTCCATCAAGAGCTTTCACCGGCCCAATGTCTGATTTTTTTTTAAAAAAAACCACCATGTCCTCGAATAGCTGGGTGGAGTGGACATTAACATTTGAACTACTATAAATCCATACATTTGCCATACACTAAATAAGTAATGCTTCACAATGCTTTGGAGTTCTCAGCAAGCAGTGTCAGCATATTGTCCCCAATAATCTGGGTTCTCATTTTATTGTCCTCAGAAAGATGGAATGCTGAGCCAAAATGGCTCATTAAATTATTAATTTAATATTTTAAAAAATTTAAAGGTTTTGATAAAATATAAAGCTATATCGTTCTAAATAAATTACGTTTAATCAATTGGGTCCATTGTGATTAAATTAGGAATTGTGATTCCTGGCACAAAGGAAACATATTTTTATGTATGTATATGGGTATGTATGTATGTATGTATGTATGTATGTATGTATGTATATATGTACATATGTACATATGTACATATGTATATATGTATATATGTATGCATATATGCCATCTTGACTGTTTTGGCATCTCGTCCCTCTCCTGATGCAATGCCCCAGAATCCATGGTGGGATTCAGCCAGTTCGCACCTATCCGGGAGAACTGGTTGTTAACTTTCTAAGCAGTTTGGAGAGCCGGTTGTCGGAAGAAATCTCATTTTGTTTTTTCCACTTTACAAAGCTAATCCTGTATGGAAGGCAGGAAGGAAACATTCTAGTGTTGTTTCTAGCCTAATCTTTATTGCCCTGATTACAGAAACTGCCCCTCCGGTTAACCCTTGTTACATTCTAACAGCTAAGACGAAGCGCCCATTGACATAAGTGATGTTGAGTTGGCCATGCCCATCCAGTCACATGACCACCAAGCCACACCTACCCAATTGGTCATTAGGGCAGAGAACGGGTTGTTAAATTATTTGAATCCCACCACTGCCCAGAATCACAGAAAAATTGTG